GGTGCGGGGAACGATGGTGGGAGCAGTGGAGCAGGTTTGGGGGAAGGCGCTGCTGAGGGGTTGGACGGAGGGGGGAGCCCAGGCTCGGAGAAGCCAGGTTCGGAGAAGCCAAGCTCGGAGAAGCCCAAGCCAAAGCGTCCTGTGGTTCGGAACGAGATTCCGTTTGAGCTCCAGCTTCGGTACGAGATTGCTGTGGTTAAGCGCGCTCGGCCGCACTTAGAGAATAGAGTGATTGCTGCTGCTATAAGGGCTAAGTACGGAGTGGAAATGACCCCGAGGGCGATAAGGAAGATTGGGGAGGAGAGTGATAAGTGGTTTAGGCTGGCTGCAGGGGTTGTCTCGGATCCGGATCAGTCTCGAATGGAGGAGGCTTTGGCTGAATGGGTGATTAAAGAGGAGGAGACGGAGAAGAGGGAGGTGACTATAGAGGAGATTATAGCGAAGGCGAAGGAGATAGGGCCGGGGTATAAGGTGCGCCCGAATTTCAAGTATGGCAGGTCGTGGGCGATGCGGTTTATGAAGAGGTTTGGGCTGCTGCTGCTGTCGGAGACTAGTACCAAGGAAGCTGATAACGAGGATGAGGGAGGGGCGAGAGGAGCGGTAGGAGAGGGAGGCGATGATGATGACTGGTTTGAGAGAGAATTCGGAGGGCGAGGAGGAGAACGAGGAGGTGGAGGTGGAGGAGGAGGAGGTGGAGGAGGCCAGGAAGGGAGGTATGAGGCCAGCGAGGGAAGAAGGCAAGGGGTTGATAGGGAGTCTGGGGGGAGGAGGAAGGGCAGGGGAACGAGCACAGGGAGGGAGGGGATTTGGGCGGTGAGGAGGAGGAAGAGGGGGAGCAAGAGGCGGAGGACGAGGGGGAGGAAGGGGGGGAGGAAGAGGGGGGGGAAGAGGGAGATGGTGGTGCGGGAAGGGAGATTGATGGTGGGTTAGTTAGTTTCGTGAATCTTCAAATGCGAGCAGCTAATCGAGCTGCCAGGCAGGTGTTGTGTGAGTCTGCAGGGGCAGGAGGAGGTGTGGGGACAGTGGCGGGACGGGGTATGGGAAGAGATGGGGGAGAAGGAAATGGAGGGGGTGAAGAAGAAGGGGGCGGAGACGGGGAGGGCGGGGGAATAGACGGGGGAGGGGAAGGGGAAAGGGAAGGGGGAGGGGAAGGGGAAGGGAAAGGAGAAGGGGGAGCGGGAGGTGGCGTGAGTAACCCTGAGCCTGATCATGGGGATGCAGGAGAAGGGGTTTCTCCAAGGGTAAATAGCCCTTGGTCGGCGGATATTTTGAATGATCTGTTTGAAGAAGCGGGGGTAGATGGAATCGGCACAGATGGTGATGGTGGGCAGGGAGGAGAAGAGGGGAAGAAGGGAGGAGACGAGGGGAAGAAGGGAGGAGACGAGGGGAAGAAGGGAGGAGAAGAGGGGAAGAAGGGAGGAGATGAGGGGAAGAAGGGAGGAGACGAGGGGAAGAAGGGAGGAGACGAGGGGAAGAAGGGAGGAGATGAGGGGAAGAAGGGAGGAGATGAGGGGAAGAAGGGAGGAGATGAGGGAATAGAGAGAGGGAGGGCGGACGAGGGAGGTGAGGAGAGAGCAGGAGAAGAGGGGCCAGAGGTTGTGAGACAAGCTTCTGGTCTAGCTGCTTCTGACGCCCATGGTTCTGCTGCTGTCGATGGTGCTGCTGCTTCTGATGGTGGTGGTGGTGGTGGTGGTGGTGGTGGTGGCGGTGCTGCTGCTGCTGCTGCTGCTGCTGATGGTGGTGGTGGTGCTGCTGCTGCTGCTGCTGCAACTGCTTCTGCTGCTGATGGTGGTAGTGATGCGGCTGCTGCTGCTGCTGCTGCTGTTGATGACAGTTCTGGTGGTGGTGCTGCTGCTGCTGCAGCTGGAATGAAAAAGAGAGGAACCAAGCGGGTTAGGTGGGTGGACGAGCAGCAGGAGGGGGAAGACAAGGAGAGGGAAACTGGGGAGAGGGAGGCGGGAGAAAGGGATGGAGGTCGGGAGGGTGGTCGTGAGGGGGCTGGTGATGGGGATGGTGATGCTGGTGGTGATGGCAGTGGCAGTAGTGATGGGGAAGGTGATGGTGGTGCGTCTGATAGTGGTGGTAAGGATGGTGATGGTGGTGGTGCGGGTGATAGTGGTGATAAGGATGGTGCTGCTGCTGCTGGTGCTGCTGGTGCTGCTGCTGCTGCTGCTGCTGCTGCTGCTGGTGATGGGGATGGTGGTAGTGAGGGCAGTGCGGAGAAGCAAAGGCATGCGCCACACGGTGCGCCACAGAGTGCAGCCACAGAAGCTGTTGCTGTCATGGCCCTCACAGCGGAGGGGGAAGCACTGGATGAGGACAGCAGTGAAGGGGGAGCAGAAGGAGAAGGAGGCGCAGTGGAGCCTGTCGCACTGGATGCAGCCGAGCAGGGAGGCCATTCTCAAGCCATGAAACCCCTCAATTCCTCCCAAGCAGCCCGGGCTGCCGAAACCACAGAGAAGGCACCGATGTCTGATGCTTCGTCTGGAAAAGCCGCCCCCGATCCGAAGCGTTGCACGGCTAGGGAGCTGACGGTGGGTCAGAAGCGCGCCTTTTGCCTCGTGCGCCACGCCCTGCCGTACCTGCGCCGAGCCACCGTCCACGAGCTTGCCAAGGCTGCGCTGCCGGCTTGGGGAGCGCGCGTGTCGTTTGAGACTGTAAGGCATGTGGTGAGGGATAGCTGGTATTGGCTGAAGATTCCTCGGGGGAAGGAGGAGGAGATGAAGAATAAGCCAAGGAAAAAGAGGAGGAGTAGGAAGGAGAAGGGCATAGGGCGGTGTGTGAAGCTTGAAGAGGCGCTATGGAAGTGGATAGAGGGGATAGGAGCAGCGGATCTGGTGAAGAACGGGAGGGTAAAGGATAGGATGTTGGTGATGGAAGTGGGGGAGCGGGGTAGGGGTGGGACAGGCGGGAAGAGCGGAGAGGGGAGAAGGAGTCGGCATTGCTCGTCTGCTCTTGGGATCTCTCAAAACCCTCAATTGTCCACTCCTGTTTTTCTGACGCTGGAGATGATAAGAGGCATGGCGAAGGAGCTAGGACCGACTCTAGACGCTCCTCCTGGATTTAAATACGCGGAGAACTGGGTGCGGAGGGTTGTAGCGCGGTTCCAGGCGAAGGCGAGGAGTGAGGAGGGGGGGCGAGCGGAGGGGGTGGATGGGGATAGGGCGGAGGGTGGGGATGGGGAGGAGGGTGAGGATGGGGAGGAGGGAGAGGATGGGGAGTGGTCAGAGGAGGAGTCGTCTGGTGATGAGGAGAGTGATGAGGGGGAGGAGGAGGAGGATGAGAGTAACAAGGGTGAAAGTGAGGATGATGATGTGGTGGAGGTGGGAGGAGGAGGAGTGGAAGGGAGGACGAAGAGAGGGCGGAGCGGGGAGACAGCAGGGCAGGAATTGGAACATGCAAGGGGTGGGAAACGGGGGAAAATCACCACACCTTTGGGAGACATACAAGCTTCCGCTTCTGCTGCTGCTGCCCCTGGTGTGGCTGTTGCTGCTGCTGCTGCTGCTGGTGCTGCTGCTGCTGGTGGTGGTGCTGGTGCTTGTGCCGGGGCTGATCAGGACCCCCACCCGTACGCGCTGGACAAGTGGGCAGATGATCCTGACCTATCCAGCCTCATGCGGTGCGTGCTCGGGCCAAAGTGGCTCACACAGTACAAACAAAGAGGTGGCATCGCATATGAGAATGACAGCAGCTTGATTGCTGATGCTGCTGTTGCCGACTACCGCCCTCCCCGCCGTCCCCGTGCGGTTGCTACAGGCGCTGCTACTGCTGCTGCTGCTGGAGCTGCTGGGTTTAGCAGTTCTCCGGCTGGTGCGGCCGGTGGCGGTACCGTTATGTACCGTTATGAACCGCATGGGGATTCATGGACAGCTGTCGCTGTTGGTTCTCGAGTCACGAGGAGCCAGGCTTTCGCAAAAACAGCAAGAGGAGGAGGAGGAGGAGGAGGAGGAGGAGGAGGAGGAGGAGGAGGAGGAGGAGGAGGAGGAGGAGGAGGAGGAGGAGGAGGAGGAGGAGGAGGAGGAGGAGGAGGAGGAGGAGGAGGAGGAGGCGGAGGAGGAGGAGTGGAGGAGGAGGGGAGGAGGAGGAGGTGGAGGAGGAGGAGGAGGAGGAGGAGGAGGAGGAGGAGGAGGAGGAGGAGGAGGGGAGGAGGAGGAGGAGGAGGAGGATGAGGAGGAGGAGGAGGCGGAGGAGGAGGAGGAGGAGGAGGAGGAGGAGGAGGAGGGAGGAGGAGGAGGAGGAGGAGGAGGGAGAGGAGGAGGAGGAGGAGGAGGAGGGTGCAGCAGGCACGGCAGGTGTCACAGGTAAAGCAGGCAAAGCAGATGTGACTGGCACAGCAGGGGGCACAGCAGGGGCACAGCAGGGGACTGGTACACAGCAGGATCTCCACTCAATTTCCAGCAGCACAACCTGCCCCGACCACACCACTTGCGTGTAACCCCACAGCACACCGGCCACTCACCCCACTCCCACACGTATGGCTTTGCTTCTCAGACACGTCCTGCTGCTGCCGCTTCACCTGCCACTGCTGCTGCTGCTGCTGCTGCTGCTGCTGCGTCTGCTTTTGCTGCTGGACCTGGTCTTGGGCCGGCAGCAGGAGGAGGGGCGGCTGCAGCAGCTGCAGCACTGCTTGCAGCAGCACTGGGCGCTGGTGGTGGTGGTATAGCTGGTGCTTTGGGTGGTGGTTTTGGTGGTGCGGGTGGTTTTGGTGGGTTTGGTAACGCTGCTGGTGGTGCTGGTGTCAACAGTGGTTTGGCCAGTGCAGGCAATCTGGGGGCGCTGGTGAATGCAGGGGCTAATCAAGGCTCAGGAGCTGGTAACCAGCAGCAGCTGCTGATGTTGCTCAACCTCTTGGCCGCACAGGCAGCAGGGGGGGGTGCCAGAGGGGGTGTGGGAGGAAGTGCGGGAACAACGTTTGGAGGAGCAGGAGGGGTAGGAGCAGGAGCAGGAGGAGATTTGGGATGGGGAGCTGGGGGAGTGGTTAGTGAACGAGAGGAAAGGAGAGAGAGGAAGCGGCGAGAGAAGGAGCGGAAGAGAGAGAAGAAGAGGAGGAGAAAAGAGGAGAAGGCCCAGAGACGAGCGGAGAGACGGGGGGTGGAGTGACTGGAGGGATTGGAGAAGTGAAAGACATGGGGAAAAGGGGGAAAGGCACAAGGGGAAAAAGGGGCAAAGGGAGAGAAGCATGGTTCGGAGGCGGGCGGGCGGCGTGCGTCGTTTGAGAGTGCGTGGCATGTGCTGGTTGGTGCGGGATCGGGCGGCGAGAGTGGGGATGGCGAGGGGAAGAGGAGGGGTGAGGGACGGAGTGTGAGGGAGGTGGGCGGCAGGAAGCGGGCGGCAGAAGTGATTGAGCTTTCAGATGATGACAAAGAGGAGGAGAACGGGTCTGATGATGACGTGGTTGAGGTGAGGGGGGTGGATGGAGGAAAGGTGCGAAGGGAGGTGGTAGACACAGAGGGCAGAAGAAGCGGCGAGAGATGGAGAAGGAGACGAGGAAGGAGAAGAAGAAGGAGAAGAAAAGAGATGGTCGTAGAAAGGGCCGATCACGGAAGGACAGCTCAAGCGACGACGACGACGATGAGGATGAGGATTATCAGGATGAGGAAGATGAGGACGAGGAGGAGGAGGAGCAGGGTAACAGCAATGGACACGGGATAGAGCACATCAGGAGGAACCTCAGGAGCAGCAGCACAGGTGCAGCAGGGACGACCGGAGCTGCTGGCATTCCGAGCCATCCGAGCCATCCGAGCAACCCACTTATTCCGGGTCAGTCACTGGCTCTGGTGGCGCAGGCTGCATCTGGGGCGGGCTTACCTCTTCCAGCCTCGGTCACGCAGGAACGGGCTGCTGCTGCTCTCGCTGCCGCTATTGCAGCTGCTGCTTCAGTGGCGCGCGGTGACTCCCCCAATGTTGCTGCTTACAACGCTACTGCTGCTGCTGGTGCCCGTGGTGGTGGGGGTGCGGGGTGGGGGGGTGCTACTAGGGGAGGGATCGGTGGTGGGTCTGGTGGGGAGTTGGGTAGTGGGCTGCTGCGATGGGAGGTGCTGGTTTTGGGCAGTTACTGGGTGCAATAAGTGCTGGTGTAATGCGGAATGTTGGTGGGATGGTAAATGCTGGTGGAATGGGTAGTGCCGGTACTAGTGGACTGTTTAACGCCCATGGACCGGGCAATGCTGTTTTAGGGCAACCATACTTCTCTCCGTATTATCCTCCGCAGTTCTATTCTGGCTTCAGAAATGCTCCTGCTGCTCCTCCGGTTCCTGCTCCTGGTTTTTCCTCTGCTAATGCTGCTGCTGCAGCGTCTCCTGCTGCTGCCTGCTGCTGCCGCCACTGCTGCTGCTGCTGCTAGGGTTCAGTACGGTGGGAATGGTGGTGGTATGGGTAGTCAGAGTGTAGCTGGTAATGCGAATGCGGCTGCTAGCCGGGCTGCTGGTGCTGCCAGTTGGGATCGGTTAGTGCAGCAAGTGCAGCAGCAGGGCAGTGGCAGCAGCAGCAGCAGCAGCAGCAACAACAACAACAGCAGCAGCCGCAACAACAGCAGCAGCAGGAACAGCTGAAGCAACGAAAGCAGAAGCAGAAACAACAGCAGAAGCAACAGCAGCAGCAGCAGCAGCAGCAGCAGCAGCAGACAGGTGGTTCTGGGTTTAGAGCGTCCCTTCTGCAGCAGCTAGAGAAGATGCACAAGCAGCAGCTGCAGCTCATAGGTCAACTGCAGCACCAGCTGCAGCACCAGCAGTTCAAGGCACCATCTCCCCAGCAGCAGTGGCAGAAGCAGCACCTAGAGAACCAGTTGCAGCAGGCACAGCGGTTTGCATGGCAGCAGCAGAGTGAGATGCAGCTGCTAAAGAAGCAGATAGAGGATCAACAACAGGCACAGCAGCAGCAACAGCAGCAGCAGCAGCAGCAGCAGCAGCAGCAAAGTGCCCCACCTGCTGCTGCAGCCTCTTCTGCTATCGCTACCTCTACTCCTCCTGCTACCGCCCCTGGTGCTGCTGTCACTGCTCTCCCTGGTGCTGCTACTACTGTTTCCCCTGCAGCTGCTATTACTGCTGATGCTGATGCTGGTGCTGCCTCCACTGCTCCTGCTGATGCTGATGCTCATGCTTCTACCCTACACCCTCCTGCTACCGCCCCTGGTGCTGCTGCCACTGCTCTCCCTGGTGCTGCTACCGCTTTTTCCCCTGCACTTGCCACTATTGCTGATGCTGGAGCTGGTGCTGCCTCCACTGCTCCTGCTGATGCTGATGCTCATGCTTCTACCACTACTCCTCCTGCTACCGCCCCTGGTGCTGCTGCCACTGCTCTCCCTGGTGCTGCTACCGCTTTTTCCCCTGCACTTGCCACTATTGCTGATGCTGGAGCTGGTGCTGCCTCCACTGCTCCTGCTGATGCTGATGCTCATGCTCCTACCACTGCTCCTGCTGCTTCCGCCCCTGGTACTGCTGCCATTGCTCTCCCTGGTGCTGCTACCACTGTTTCCCCTGCACCTGTCACTATTGCTGATGCTGATGCTGGTGCTGCCTCCACTGCTCCTCCTGATGCTGATGCTCCCACCACTACTGCTGACTCTGGTGCTGCTACTGTCGCTCCTGCTGACGCTGATGCACCTGCCACAGCTGCTCCTGCCACAGATGCACCTCCCACAACAAATCCACCTGCTACAGATGCCCCTGCTACAGATGCACCTGCTACAGATGCACCTGCCTCAGATGCACCTGCCGCAGATCCACCAGCTACTGATGCACCTGCTACAGATGCCCCTGCCTCAGATGCACGTGCCTCAGATGCACCTGCTACAGATGCCCCTGCTAGAGATGCACCTGCTACAGATGCACCTGCTACAGATACACCTGCTACAGATGCACCTGCCTCAGATGCACCAGCCGCAGATCCACCCGCTACTGATGCACCTGCTACAGATTCACCTGCTACAGATGCCCCTGCCTCAGATGCACCTGCTACAGATGCACCTGCTACAGATGCACCTGCTACAGATGCACCTGCTGCAGATGCACCTGTTACAGATGCACCTGCTGCAGATGCACCTGCCTCAGATGCACCTGCTACAGAGGCGCCTGCTACAGATGCGCCTGCTTCAGATGCACCTGCTACAGATTCTTCCCCTAAATCGCCTGATGAAGCCACAGCAGCCCCAGCCACATCCCCAGCAGGCACAGCCGCATCACCTGATTCACCAGAGGCTGGGGCCAAAGCAGCTACAGCCGCATCACCTGATTCACCAGAGGCTGGGACCAAAGCAGCTACAGCCGCATCACCTGATTCTTCAGAGGCTGAGACCAAAGCAGCTACAGCCGCATCACCTGATTCACCAGAGGCTGGGACCAAAGCAGCTACAGCCGCATCACCTGATTCACCAGAGGCTGGGACCAAAGCAGCTACAGCCGCATCACCTGATTCACCAGAGGCTGGGACCAAAGCAGCTACAGCCGCATCACCTGATTCACCAGAGGCTGGGGCCAAAGCAGCTACAGCCGCATCACCTGATTCACCAGAGGCTGGGACCAAAGCAGCTACAGCCGCATCACCTGATTCACCAGAGGCTGGGGCCAAAGCAGCTACAGCCGCATCACCTGATTCACCAGAGGCTGGGACCAAAGCAGCTACAGCCGCATCACCTGATTCACCAGAGGCTGGGACCAAAGCAGCTACAGCCGCATCACCTTATTCACCAGAGGCTGGGACCAAAGCAGCAACAGCCGCATCACCTGATTCACCAGAGGCCGGGATCACAGGTGCTGAGGTGGATGCAGTTGAGAGCACCGTCAGCAAGATCCTTGGAGGGAAGGATTCTGACGCGCCTGTAGCTGCTACAGCCGGTGACAATGTACCTGCTACAACCACGGTTAAGGCTGTAGCAGCTACAGTTGTAGAGTCTGGGATCACAGGTGCTGAGGTGGATGCAGTTGAGAGCACTGTCAGCAAGATCCTTGGAGGGAAGGATTCTGACACGCCTGTAGCTGCTACAGCCGGTGACAATCTTCCTGAAACTGAATCGGATAAGGATGTGGCGGCTACCGGGGATGTGGATTTAGCAGTTAAGTCTGGAAGCGCGGCTGTAGCTGCTGCATCTGAGGCTGAGGCTGTAGCTGCAGCTGTCACAGAAGATGGGAAGTCACTTGAAGAAGTTGGCCCAGCACAGAAGCCCAGAGCAACAGCTACAGATGATATGGAAGTGGACGGTGGTGGTGCTGCTGCAGCGGGTGAGCCAAGAGACGGTACAGCAGCTACAGCAGCTACAGCAGCTGCAGCAGCTGCAGCTGGTGAGGATACACGTGAAAATGATGACCCACAGGAACCCAGAGCAACAGCTACAGAGGATATGGAAGTGGACGGTGGTGCTGCAGCTGCAGCCGATGGTGCCGCAGCAGCTGCAGCTGAAGAGGCACGAGATGAGGCAGCAGCCACAGCCATCGAGAGTCCAAGGGCGACCAGTCCAGCTGCTGAAGATGGGGAAAGGGATGATGCATGTGTTGCAGGTGATGGTTCTACAGGTGAGGGTGCGGCTGTTGGTGGTGGTGATGCAGGTGGTGCAGACGATGGTGCTACACGCGATGGTGATATAGATGGCGGTGCTACAGGTGACGGCGAATCAGGTGGTGGTGCTGCAAATGGTGGTGCTGACGGTGATAGTGCTGCAGGCGATGGTGCTGCAGGTGGTGGGAAGTCGAGAGAGATTGCGCCTATGGATGCGGACTGTCAAGAGCACGAAGCAAAGGACGCAAGCGATGAGAATGGAGGAGGGGATGGTGTTGCAGTAGGTGATGGTGGGGTTACAGGTGGTGGGGCTCCAGATGGTGGGGCTACAGGCGGTAAGGCTGTGGATGTGGACTGTCAAGAGCACGACGCAAAGGACACAAGCGATGAGAATGGAGGAGGGGATGGTGATGCAGTAGGTGATGGTGGGGCTACAGGTGGTGGGGTTACAGATGGTGGAGCTACGGAGGGAAAGGCTATGGAGGGTAAGCCTATGGAGGGTGGGGTGTAGGAAGAAGAGGATGAAGGGTGCTAGCAGTTTTGCCGCAGTAGTTATTTGTTGCATGTCTACATGTTTGCTAAATATAGTTGCTCGTAATATGTGGTATTCAACTCTGTTTGTGTCACCAGTCCTGGTTGATATTCCGGACTGTTTTGGTTAATTCTTTGTATAAGGACTTGCTTTCTCAAGCTTGTGTTACACCAACAGCAATCACTGCATGAGCGCTTCTTGCTGTGCCACGAACCATAGTGTTAAAACAGATTTATATTATAATGTAACTGCATGTAACTTAGCTAGTGTAGTATCTTTAAGAATTCTATTGTTGGTGGTATACCCCTCTTGGCCACCATCCCTACCACTATATCTTGTATCTATCTCATAGTGCAATACCTCTCACCACTACCCTACTTCCTATCCTAGCTATGGCTACTAAGATCTAAGCCTTTACTAGCTGTCTTGACATGGTGTCAGAGCTGGTTCTTTCCTAGAACCTTCTCCTTTTTTTTTTAAAGAATCATGGGCCCGCCCTTCCTGCAGCGCGAAATGCGCCATTTTTTTTTTTTTTTCGTCCCGTCGCGCCCTGCGCCCGTCCCGTTTCGTCGCCCACGGCCTCCCGTTTCGTCGCCCCGCGGCCCCTGATTCTTCGCCTCGCGGCCCCCCGTTCACCGTCGATCCGGCCGCCAACGCCAGCGGGCGCCAGCACTAGCACCAGCGCCAGCGCCAGCGTCGGGGCCAGCCGCCAGCACCAGCGCCAGCGCGACCGCCAGCGGCTAAGGCCAGCGCCAGCGCCACCCGCCGCCGCCCACGCCAGCGCTCGCCGCCACCGCTACCGCCAGCGCCAGCAGCCCACGCCAGCGCCGGCAGCGGGTGATGCCGCCCTTCCCGCCCGCCCTCCCTTCCGCTCCTCCCGTCGTGGGAGGGGGGAGGGGAGAGGGATGTGGGGGGGGCGGGTGTGAGGAGCCAGCACGTCCTCCCTCTCTTACCCTCCCTTCCCTCTTCCTCTCTCCCTGCAGCACTAGATGCTGTAGGGAAGGGGGGGGAAGGAGGGATGAGAGAGGGTAAGGGAGGGTGCGAGAGAGTGGTGGAACCAGTAGCCACGCATCTGCAGATGCCGCCCACTGCTACCGTGGCACCTACAGCTGCAGCCCCTGACGCCTCGTTCGTCTTCTTTGCTGTTGAGCTGCAAACTAAGCGCGCTCCAGCACTTCGTCTTCGTTCTCTCTTTCTTGCCTCAGGGCTTGCTGCAGCTGTCTCTGCCACCACTGCACTGGTTGTCATTGCTCTTGCGTGCTACTGCTTTGAGTACACTTGCAGGTTGTGATTTGCACTTTGCTATTCCTGCATGCAGTTAAGGGGGGATGTCAGAATTACATTAATATAGCTGCATGTAGTTCTAGCAGTAGTGTAATTATTTCATCTACCTGTTTGGTGGTTTACCCCCCTTTCTATCCTATTTGTATCTCAAACCCTATAGTGAAGCCCCCTTTTATTGCCTAAACTCTCTCGACACTTTCTCCTCTTCACCCTAGCATGGCTCCTCACCTCTAGCTACTATCTTGACATGGTACAGAGCAGTAATCGATCCTAAGGACCTATTTCCTTTTAAGAACTATGGGCCCGCCCACGCTGCAGCGCAAAATGCGCTATTCCTTATCGTTTTCGTCGTCGCCCTGTAATCCGCCCGCCCTGCCCGTCGCGTCTCACCCCCCCCCCCCCCCCCCCCCCCCCCCCCCCCCCCCCCCCCCCCCCCCCCCCCCCTCCGCGCCCTGCCCGTTCGTCGCGCAGCCCGCCTAGCGCCTCGCCAGGCGCCAGTGCGGACGTCCGCGACGTGCGCCAGCGCGGACGCCAGCGGCCCGCGGACAGCGCCAGTGCCAGACGTGTTAAACTGCATTATGCTTGTAGGCTGTAGTAGGGTAGCCAATATGGGGTACAACCCCAACTAGGGTTTGCTACTTGTACCCAACTGTTTCATTCAATGCATCATTCTTGCCTAGTGATTCTGATATGGTATTCAGAGCAGGAGGTCCCTAGGACCTACCGATCGTTTTTTTTAGGGCCCACCACCGCTCGCATGCGGTTACCACGCTACCCCGTTCCCTAGCCTCGTAGCGCCCTCGTGCGCCCTCGTTAGCGCCCTCGCGCGCACCCTCGTTAGCGCCCTCGCGCGCACCCACGTCAGCGCCCTCGCGCGCCCCTTCGTTAGCGCCCTCGCGCGCCCCTTTGCTAGCGCCCTCGCGCGCCCCTTGCTAGCGCCCTCGCGCGCCCCTCACTAGCGCCCTCGCGCGCCCCTCACTAGCGCCCTCGCGCGCCCCTCGCCGAGCCGCCCGCTCGCAGCCCGCCCGCCCGCTCGCTGCCCGCTTCGCGGCCCGCTCGCTACGCAGCCCGCCGCCCGCTCGCTGCCCGCTTCGCGGCCCGCCCGCTTCGCAGCCCGCTCGCTCGCTGCCCGCTTCGCGGCCCGCCACTTCGCAGCCCGCCCGCCCGCTCGCTGCCCGCTTCGCGGCCCGCCCGCCTCGCAGCCCGCTCGCCCCGCTGCCCGCTTCGCGGCCCGCCCACTTCGCAGCCCGCCCGCCCGCTCGCTGCCCACTTCGCGGCCCGCCCGCATCGCAGCCCGCTCGCCCCGCTGCCCGCTTCGCAGCCCGCCCGCCCGCCCGCTGCCCGCTTTGCGGCCCGCCCGCCTCGCAGCGTCGCCCGCCCACCGTGCTGCCCGCTTGCAGCGCCGCCTGCCCGCCGCGCTGCCCGCTTCCCGGCCCGTCCGCCGCGCTGCCCGCTCGCAGCGTCGCCCTCCCGTCGCACTGACCGCTTGCAGCGCCGCCTGCCCGTAGCGCCAGCCTCGCCCGCTGCTCTCTATCCGTGCACAGTCGTCTTCCCCTGCTGCGGCAGCTTGCGTTACTCTGTCACACTGTCGCTATGGCTTCCATTCGCGTGCTGTCGTTCGATGCTGAGGGCCGCCCTGTGCGTTTCACCGCTTGGCTAGATGACCTGCAGCTGTTTCTCCTGAGCGATAGCAAGGAGCATGTGTCGCTCTATGACTACGCGTCTGGTGCTGCGCCTGCCCCTCCTGCCACAGCTGAGCTTAGTGTTCGTTCCCACTGGCAGACTCGTGACGCAGCTGCTCGCCTAGCCATTCGCAGTCACCTGCCGTTAGCTGAGCTAGAGCATTTTGGCGACTGCAAATCCGCTAAGGCCCTGTACGACGCTGTCGTCGCTCGCTACTCCTCGCCTGCCACAGCCGAGCTTAGCCGCCTCATGCTGCCGTACCTGTTCCCCGATCTGTCCACCTTTACTACAGTCGCCGATCTTATCACCCACCTTCGCACTAGTGATGCTCGCCTGCGTGCCGCCCTTCCCACCGAGTTCTGCGCTAAGAACCCCCCTCCACTGTACTGGACACTCCACTTCATAGTCACCCGTCTCCCTGACACCCTCCGCTCAGTTCGAGACCACTTCCTTGCTCGCTGTCCCACTGAGCTCACAGTCGCCCTCCTAGAGGAGCACCTGCTCGCGGCCGAAAAGAGCATTGTAGCTGTCGGTGCTGCTCGTGGCGCTCCTCGCACCCCCATCTTTGAGGGGTGTTCTCCCTCTCCCCTCGCTCCCTCCTACGCTGCTGCTGCTGCTGTTGACTTCCTTGGTGCTGAGTCTGTTGGCGCTGCTTCTACTCCTGGTGGGAGGCGCCGCACCGGCAAGGGCAAGGGGGGCAAAAGTGGTGGTGGTGGCGCTGGTGGGGGAGGAGGTGGGGGAGGTGGGGGGGGAGGCGGTGCTGGAGGGAGCGGTGGCGGGAGCGCTGGTGGGAGTGGGGTCGGTGGTGGAGACGGGGGCGGCGGAGGGAGCAGTGGCAGTAGTGGCGGCGGCGGCGGTGGCGGCGGTGGCGGTGGTGGCGGTGGTGGCGGTGGCGGTCGGAGCGGTGGTAGTGGTGGCGGCGGAGGTCGGAGTGGAGGCACTGGCTCTGGCCAGAGCTCCCAGCAGCAGCAGCGTCCCCAGACGACCCAGCAGCTTCGTGAGTGGCTTGCTCAGCGTGGGACGTCGGGGGCCAGTGCCCGCTGTTCTTATGTCATTCGCACAGGTGACCGCAAGGGACAGACGTGTGGGAGGTTCCACACCCCGTACCGCTGCTTCTCCCGCCTTGACGACGCTTGGCGTGAGGAGATGGGTGCGGATGTTGAGCGCCCCCGCTGGGCTGAGCTCATGAGGGCTGGTGTTGATGTCTTTGCTCTTGACTATGATGCTATTATTGCTGCCATGTATGCATTGACTGTTAGTGCCGAGGGAGACTGTTACTTGTGTGTGCCGCCTGACCCAGGTATAGAGCCCGCTGCCCTGGGTACTAGTGAGTCTGCTCTCTCTGGTATGGTGCCCCCTGTACTTGCTCCCCCCAGTGCTGTCCCGGCTGGTTTCGAGTCTGCTCTCTCAGGTACAGCACCCACACAGACTCCTCTCTCAGGTACCGCACCGGCTGAGGCCTGTCACACCTTCACCCTTGACTCAGGTGCTTCCCGTTGCTTCTTTCGTGACAGTACTGAGCTCACACCGCTTCCTGCACCGGTCCCAGTCTCCTTGGCTGACCCCTCTGGGGGCCCAGTCCTTGCCCAGTCCACCACTGTCCTCCCTTGTCCGGCGGTTCCGTCTGGCTCGTTGTCGGGTTTCCACCTCCCCTCGTTCTCGACGAACCTGGTGAGCAACGCTGTCCTCCAGGATCAGTGGGTTGACACCTTTACCCCTGGCGGACAGCGTGTGGCGATCTGCACGTGCTCCAGGACCGGCCGTCACCTGGCTACGTTCACCCGTCGGCCGGGGTCGAGTCTCTACACACTGACCACTGCGTCTCCCCAGGTAGCTGCTGTCGGTCAGGTGTCTGCGTCAGGTCTGGTGGCCCACGCCTGTGAGTGTCGTTCCCTGTCGCACCAGACTCTTCTCTGGCACCACCGCCTGGGTCACCCCTCCTTGCCACGCCTTCGTGGCATGCACCGTCGCCTCCTTGTGTCCGGTCTTCCCAGGTCCCTCCCTCCCCTCCC